AAAAAAAAAAGATAAATGAGGGAACGGAGAGCAGTCCCATCCAATGCTAAACTATGGGCTGCTATGTTAATCACTGGGGAGAATTCATCACGCAGAGCAGTCCCAACTCTAATTGGGTATTAAAGAAGCACAAAGTTTGCAGCACACATTGATCTCTCTGCACCTTGTGAATTATTATTTAGATTAGTGCACTTCAAACTCTCTGACAGAATTTTAAATTTCTGAAGAAGGCAATCAATAATCTCCAATGAATTTTACACTTGACAAAGCCTTATTCCAATAGACATTCCATCTCAACACCCTTTGAAAAGGCACAAAGTACTAACTATTCCTATTGAATTGAAGCAATAATAAAACTTGCACTACCATAATTGAACAGAGTAAGAACACAAATACGCAATATTATTCAACAAAACCAAACCCTAATAAACACTTTCTCAAGCATTCAAAACTCCCATATGGATTACACCTGATATAAAGCCCCCAATGAGCCCCCTAAAACCCAGCTTTTTCTTTCTTTCAAAACCCTAAAAAATGACTTAAATTTTTCAATCAGACCTCGTCTTCATGAAGAAGCATATTGGGAATCCCCTTATTGACGGGAAATTTCCGGCCGGTCTCAGGGCAGACAAGAGCACCTTCTTCGAGGTGGAGCTCGAGGAGCGCGTGGTGGAACTTCTGGAGAAAGTCATCGGAGTCTAGCATCGAAGGGTTGGCATCTCCGGGAAGCTCCGAGTAGCCCATGGATCTGGAGGCGTCTACGAGGGCCTTCCANTTTAGCATCGCAGGGTTGGCCTCTCCGGGAAGCTCCGAGTAGCCCATGGATCTGGAGGCGTCTACGAGGGCCTTCCACTCGATTTTGGCGAACATGTTCTTGAGAAAGTCGGCGTTGAAGTCTACTTGCTTCTCGACAACTTTCTCAACTTCGATTCTCAGTGGGAAGCCGTTGGCCACGCCCTTGATGTTGGATGATAGCATGTTGTGGGTTAGCAGCCTCATCTTTCTCTTTCTCGCTCTCTGCTCGTTCTCCCTCTGTATATTGTCTTTCTATCTCGAATCTCCACTGCGGAGGCCGGTTGGAGTACATCATTTATATGCGGCTTAATCTCACTTCATACCCTGAAAATACTCATATTTAAAGGAGAATTACATTACAGACCCTCGAGGCCAATCACTTAATCATTTAGATTTTTGGCATTTAAAATATTACACACAAATCCTCAGAAGTATGTTAGCAGTTAACATTTAGACCTTGCTATAAATATATTCAGTAAATTACATCCAGACCTTTTAAAATTTATAAACATATATTACTTAGATCTTTTAAGTTTAAAATATTATACTTAAACCAAAAATAATTCAACCAATGATAAAATATCAAATATTATGAATTTTACAATTAAAATTCATGTTTTATTATATCTTTTATTGAAATAAAATCAAAAATTAATATTTAATTTTTCTTAAAAAATCATTATTACTATATAATTATATTATCTAAACATTTTTTATACAACAATCATTTTTTCTAAACATTTTTTTTTGAAGCGTGTCTATAACATGTTCATAGCCGTTAAAAACTTAGTTTTTGCGTAACTAATAGGGTGCGCAATTTATGATGGCGTGGATTTTGATGTTGCCAAAGCAATGGATGAGTAAAGACGAGCTTCTCTTTGTTATGAGGGAACACTTTCTTATGGAAATTTTCGATTATCACATCATGAACAACCACATGGTAAACACACACATACACTAATCAAACTTGTAGCATTTTTCCCTTGATCAATAGGCTTTTTCATGACGTGTAAAATTTTTCTAGTCTAAACATCCTAGCAAATAAATTTTTTTTTTTTTTTTTAGTTTAATGATCAAGATGTTCGAACTAGTTTATGCGCAACTCCACTAATCTCTTTCTTAGTTTGGTTAAATACAGAGTATCCACACTGAAATTAAGATATTCTTAAAGGATAAATCTTTCATAACCTGGACCTAAAAAATTGATAAGATTCGAAATTCAAATCAAATTTACAATTTGTGTTAATTATTACTTAGAAGAACTTTGAGGTTCTTTAACAATTGGTTGGACAGCTACAAACAATTAGAGATGAGCACTTTCAGCCGTTCGAAGCAACCCCGATTCGTATTTCCACAAGTTAATGTCAAGATGCATTTATCACTTAGAGACGGTTAATTATACATATAATCCAAAACCCCTCTTTGTGGTTGAATTCAGAGATGAAGCAAGTAATTCATTAGTTAGATATGAACATCCACCACTTGTGAAGAGCAATTCCGTAAACCACAGTGTACACAGCCATTCTGATAGGGTAGATCCTAAACCTGCACAAACAGAATCATCAATTCAAATATCGAAGAGATTAAAAAACTAACAACATTAATGTCTGTAAGGGGGCACAAGAATCCCCCCTTGAATCACTGACATGCACAAAAACTACGAAAATTCAGCATTACAATTAGAAAATTAATGTAATCTCCTGTCGCGGAGCCTGTAATATCCCAAATTTAAAATAAATACAATATTAGTTTTTAGGTCAATTTGTGATATTTTTTTTAAAAGGGATATTAGTGCAATTAAGGAATGAGGAATTCTAGGATTACTATAGAGTTCTTTTTGATTTGTATAAAAGATATATGTAGACGGTCAAAAAAGGGCAAAATAAAAAAAAATAAAAAAAGAAAAGAAAAGGGAAGAAATAAAGAAAGAAAGAGTGCGGCTTAACGGAGAGAGAAAGAAAGAGAATAAAGGAGGAAAAAGAAAAAAAATGGGTTGATTCCATTAAAGGTATGGATTGATTACTTCTCTTATGAGTTTTATATTTTTATTCAATGAGATGGTGTAGGGTTTATAATGTTGGTGTCAACATACATATATATCTATATAATAAAGTAGCTTACAATTCAAATTTCAAAAGATAAATATAATATCTTTTGTTATTCGCGGTTAAAATTACTTTAAATTTTACTTTAAAATTAATTTAACGGCTAATATTAACACTTTAAATTTAATAGGAAAAATAGGCTCATAAAAATGTATTTGAAATGACTTTTTAAAATTACTTCTAAAAATATTTTTCATAAATACTTTAAAAAAAAAATAGTGTTTGAAACCGCCATACCACTACCACTACCACTACCTCGACTACCACCACCACCATTTACAACCACCACTGCCACCATGATCATCACCACCACCGCTGTCGCCACCACCACCATTGTCGTCGCCCTCATTGCCACCACCACTACCACCGCCACCATAGTCATTGCCACCCATCACAACCATCACCGTGTCCTACCACCACCTCTCACCCCCACTACAAACTGGTGTTTAAATTCTTTCATCTCTTCTCTATGTTTGTAATTTGGTTTTGGATATGAATATAAATATATTTATTATTTACCATTTTTTATTACTCTGTGCCTTCAGGCATATGCAATAACTAGTATATATATATATATATATATATATATATATATATATATAAGTCTCATGATACCTTATTAATTATTGAAGTTATTAGATTGAACTTTAAGTTTATAGTGATTTGGAATTGATTGAGTTTACTCAATGTGTTGGAAAGAAAAAGATAAAAAAAAAAGGGATTTGATTTTGAACTTACAGAATATACAACCTGGAGGCCTTCGTTGGTGGGAGAAGACAACGTCCAGAAATTACATAATTTATCCTTTTGACTTCAAGGAACTGTAATTTGACCCCTATATTCTTTAAAATTTAATTTTAATTACTGTTTTACTTGGTAAGCTGGAAGAATAGAATTTTGAAAAATTTATAGTAGTCCCGAAAGTAGAAAATTTGTTTTTCAATGAAATTATACTTTGATACCAAAAGTTTTCAAAAATTATGATTTGACCCTAAAACTTTAGAAACTTTTTCCAAAAAGCGTAGAATACTTCCATACCCTATTACCTCATATTAGAAAGGATATTTATATGTAAAAGATATATGAAATATATATATCAATAGGATAAAAATATAAAAATTAAATATAGAATCGAAAAACGACGAAATTAAGAAAAGAGATTGATTGTTATATATATATTTGAATTAGGTAATGATTGTATTNTCAATAGGTGAAAAATATAAAAATTAAATATAGAATCGAAAAACGACGAAATTAAGAAAAGAGATTGATTGTTATATATATATATATATATATTTTATTTTTTTTTGAATTAGGTAATGATTGTATTGAGATTGAGAAAGAGTGCTTTGAATTAGACTTTAGAAATCAAGGTGAGTAGTTTACTACTTCTTTTGGAAGGACTTTCTATATTCAATGTGTAGGTGCGTGTGTATAAATTTTTTCATATATATGATATATGTGTTGATGTTTGAGATTGCAATTAAATATTTTGAAAATTGTGAACTGTTCTACATGTGAATTTTGGAAAACTTGTGGGCTGATTTTATATCATTGATTCGGTGATGAAAGAGAATTTTTGTGTGCGTTGGGATTAAAACTACAGTTTTGGTGTGTGTGAAAATCATGTTTATGAGACCGGGACTGGGGTTACCAAATCTAAATGATAACAAGCGATTGAGACTGGAGTTACCAGGTCTTAGTAGTAACAAGCGACTAGGCCAATTATCAGACTAGTGATGACAAGAGACTGTACCAGTTACCAGGTTAGTGGTAACAAGAAACAGAGCTAGTTATCAGGTTAGTGATGACAAAAGACTGGACCAGTTACCAGGCTAGTGGTAACAAAAGACTGAATCAGTTATCAGGCTAGTGATAACAAACATGATTTACAAATGTATGTGAAACTGAATGTGTGCATGAGTGTTTTGAGTTTTAAATATCTTTTCATTTATAAAATTATTTCTGATCATGAAATCATTTTGTTTAAATGATTATGTGGGAGGGATTGAGGTACAATTTGTTGTACTTATGTGTGTATCAAAGTTTATTTTTGTATATAAATTCTGGGATTTATTTTCATACCTTATTAGAGGTGGTTGCTATTCACGGGTCTTTGTGCTCATCCAAACATTTAACATTTTTCAGGTAAGGATCAGGGGGAAGAGTAAGTCCTTGGATAGACAAGAGATTAGAAGAGTCGAAGATTTATTTTATTGTAGGTCTTGAGGAATAAATATCTTTTATAGTTATGAGACAAATATTCAATTGTTTTGAAAACGATATTACTTATGCTTAGAGTAGTGAACCTTATCATTTAATTATTGTTTTATATGATTTTGATAATGACATCGGTGATGTTTAGTTTATTCATTAGGTCGATGGATTGGATCACTTTATTATTTGTTTTCCGCTATATTTTGTATTTATTATACATAAGGTTTGTTGGTTAAAACCTTGGTGGCCAGTTTGTCGCCCACCCTATGTGATCCGGGGTAGGGGTGTGACAGAGTCAGCAAAGGTAAGATGGACTGTTAATCAAATCAAGTTATTCCAGATCAGCTTATTTTTAATTTGTTTAAGTTTGACTCGTTTTTTTGAATAATTTTTTTGATTTGTTTGAAAAACGAGCTTGACAGGCTCAGTTCGGGCTCGATTCATTTTGAACTTGTTCAGACGCGGCTCATTTTCTAAACAAATCAAACTTGAACAATATTTTAGGCTGCGTTAAAAAAACAAACCAGCTATCAACCCTAATCTTATGTATACTGTGTTAAGTCACCCATAAAAAAACTGTTTCATTTATTGTTTGTGAATCCAAACTTTTTTGACTCGAATCTATGATGGCTTACCTCACAATAGAACAATTTTATCATGACGTCAACACCCAATCCTAAGTGACAAAAAGATAAGAACATTTTCTTCTGAAAATTGAGTGGAAGAAAGGCTGAAAATATATATATGCACCTTGTGGGTGTTGTTGGTCGGAGAGCAGAACGAGATTGAGAGCCCATCTTCTCCACTTGAAGGGGAGAGCACCACTGGGAGACACCGCGGTCGAAGAACTCCCAATCTGGCAAAAGCACACCACATATTGCA